GAGTCAAGCTGCTGCCAAAATCTATCTTGCTTACTGTCTGTGTATTTCAATCTAGTCCTAAGTGTATTTTCATTCCGTGCCCCTTTTCCAGTCTTACTTAAGATGTAAGTGTGGTTTCCTTCAAAATTGTGACATATTTACTTTTTGTGGTTTTACATGAAAAACAATGCTTTTCTGGAGTTTTTTGCATGCATGACTCAGTGATTTCCAGCTAAATGTAATGTAACGCCTGAATAAGACAAGTTAATTATAGCAGAAATGAACCAACTTCTCTGTGTTTGTCGGACAGAGCAGTCTGCAGGGACAGATGAAACCTTGTCTGAGTGGCAGATTGGAAATGATTGGTTCAACAGAGTGCTCCGTGCCTTCTGGGTCATCATCCATATGTTTAGGTTAGCAGGGTGAATGTGAAGGGCACCGACCGGCTGGCCACATATGGACACAATTTGACTTTTTTTGATTGGGCAGCGATTACCACATAAACATAATCATCCGTTTTACAAGGTTTCCCAATCTGCAGCGGAAAAGCAGAGGTTTGAGGACATTTCCATGTATACTTCCTCTCAGCATGAATAAACTCATCTCCTGAAATGAATCCCCAAATCAACCCCATATGTAAATACTCACAAGAGAGACATTTTGGTGAGTGGATTGCTCATGCAAGGTCTGGCAGCTTTACAACGGAGCCAACCCCGACTCTAGCCAAGTGACATCTAAGAAGTCTGGCTTTTTTTTGTTTTCTTTGGCTCTCACAGGATGAGAGAGCAGCCGAGCATTTAAGATGCAAACCAAGCCCCAGAAAAGGAGGCTGTTTTCGTTAAGAGCACATGGGCTCAGGTTGCGTATCTGTTTTTGGAAGCAATACTAAGCTGGGTTGTTTATATCCATCACCGGTTGTGCAAGGGAATTTTAGCAGCAGGAAGGATATTGCTGTTATTGGCTTGAATATTATTCATGGGTTAAATATATATCCCAATCGACTGTGGGACGCTGGGAAGAGAGAATGAAAAGACGAGCTCACTGAGGTCACATGAACATGTGGTATTAATGGCAAATCTCCTCTTACATGACACGGACAACACAAGGGTTATCAGCTTGCATTGAAAAAGAGGTTTACTGAGGCTCTTTTGGAATACATGTAGACCTTGATATTGACCTCAAAGCAATGTCTTCACTACTTAAATAAGACCACATTGAAGCATCTGACGCGGATCAGATCGTTTTTATGATGTACAAATTAGCTACTGTAAGCATTTGTGATTGAAATCGGCACGAGTGAGACCGCATTTTTGTCCTGCTGCGGATCATACACAGGATTCATTCATGTTGATATCATGAAAACGTATGTCAAGTGAGAATGGGGCTTCAGTTTGCATGATATGGATTGTTGCATATTGGCTGTGTGTTCCTGGTATCCATGATAATGTATTGATCCAACAAGTGATCATGCACAGAATTTACAACTAAACATTTAATGGCAGCACCCAACAAAAGGGAGAGTGTGCGTAGTGTTTCTGTGTACGTGTCTCTTTGTTTGCTCGCATCTGCTTAGGTGAGTATGTGCCTGTGTGTGCCACTTGTGTGTGTCTTTCCCTACAAGCAGGCTCATTATAAAACCAATTAAACCTGCCTTACTCTCATTATAGAGCTGTGGGGCTTAAGGAGAGATTGAGGACCTGTTGTACTCCCAGAGGGCTGCTGCCTGGTCAGCCCTGTTTTAAATGATAAAAACACTTTTAAATCCGCTGAAATCAAACACCACGGAACGGTCACGATGGGTCAGTATCAGTCTGAGCTCATTCCTGAACCCCTGGCCCTCAGTCAACTCCATTACCCCCCAACTAAAAACACAAAGAGCTCAGTAGCTTCTCCAGACTGGATTCTTTTTGTTTTTTAAAACGATGGTTTCATCCCAAAAACGCTTGCATGCTCTGGTTTCTATCTCTGCTATTTATGAAATACCGAGTGTGGGAAACAATAATGTAAACTGGCTCCATTACTGCGTGGGATAGTGGTGCTGTAAGAGTAGGAATATGATATGGAGGAAGAGGAAGAGAAGAAGGCAAAAGAGGAGACAGGGCAAGAGAGAGACACCAGACAATGAGCATAGAGAAAGAAGCTTAGCTCGGAGACAAATCTTTATATGAAATAACTATTTAAAAAATGGGATTTTGCATGGTGTCAAGGTAATAACCAGCGAGAGACACAGTCGCCTCAAATGATCTAGAATCAACAGACAAAATCATGTCGCTATTGTGTTCATTACTTTGTATTTGGGAGACGTTGCTCTCTTCTCTGTACCCCACAGTATGTACCCTCCCTCCCTCCCTAGTATTACTACCACCACACACACACACACACACACACACACACACACACACACACACACACACACACACACACACACACACACACACACACACAGTTCCCTCCCTTCTTCATCTTTGGCGGACGGATGGAGAGGCACAGCTGCCTGGAAGGTGTAGGCGTTGATTGATAGATGAAGTTTTGGTGCCCATGGGATCCAATCATGTAATCAGTTTGTATTGATTGACTGTCCCCATTGAGAGCCAGAGCTGGCACGCATTCAAAAATCTTTTGTAGTCAAATTTGATTGTGGTGGCAAGGTCGCCTGGGTCCACTCGTCGGGGTGCGTGTAGGGAAGACGGGTGCAATCGCACTGCAGACGTATCGCAACACTTCCACCATTCTCAGCTCCAAATCTTCATTATCTTGCATTTATTTCAATTATTATGATTGAGAAATTAATTCAGCTTCACTGTAATTGCATCACATGGTTAATGATCCAATCTCCCTGGAATTTAAATAAGGCTTCGACCTGGGTTTGCATAGCTAATAAGGATTTTCCAGCTACCCTGCGTTTCTCAGACTTTTCTCTTATTTCACATTTCTGACTTATATTTCAAGTGTCAAGTTATCATCTCTGTATGATGCAATTCACATCATTCCGGCACCAATTGTGAAAGATTGGAGCCATGATTGCAAATAAATATATTTTTTGTGAAATAACATTTGTTAAGGACATTGCCTAGTCTTTTTGGTGAAAAAGACACAGAGCAATGGTTACGCAATATAAATCAGACAAAAAAGGGGTTTCTTTTCAGTAGTATTACCGACATGTAGTTTATATCAGCAGTAATAGAGGGTTTTTCAGCTCACTCACCACTTTACATCTTAACACACACATCCTTACAAGGCTGCATCTCGACAGCTCCGACATCAGTAAGCCACTTGTTAGTGAGACAGCTCGGCTTATTTGTTTCCTTCACTGCAACAGCACATCTTGTTTGTAGACAGAGGTGGGAGTATAGAGAATTGAAAGCCCTTCACCAGTGGGCATCTGTTTTTCCATGCTTGCATTTAATAAGCCCCAAAAGATAAGATTGCTGCCTGAAAGTCATTCTAAAGTCAAATTAAGGCTGAGCTCACCGAACACATTTCCAAACTCTACTGGGTGACGTTACCTCAGGGTAAGGATCTGATTCGCAACTGAATGAGGAGCGGCAGATGTTTTCTGTGTCCTCTTCTCATCTACAATGAACGTACCTTTTCTAGGTGACAAAAATGAGTGATGAAGAGATTTCTCTACAGCTCACTTTTTGCTTCCATTAAGAATCTTTGAGTTACTTCAGGGCACTTCATGTTCCTAAATGAACAAGCTGACATTTCACATAAGCAGCCTCTGGGTTTACAATCTAGTGTCCTCATTGATTTATATACAGTAGTAGAGTATTCAAAACTGATTCGTCATGATTGGACTTCAGTTCATTTGTCATGACTCATGACTGAACACAATTGTAGAAGAGGAGGACATTTTGTACACTGGTACAATGGTTACATTTAAATGAATATTTCAAAAATGTATTCTTCACAAAAATGCAACTAGCCCCTTACTGTAAGTGAAAATAGTTATGGTTTCTTATACATTTCTGACACATTTTAAGCATGAAAACAAACAATACTCATTGAATTAGATGTGAAATTGGGCAGGCATCAAACCATGACCAGGATCAGGTTATTTAATTAGTATCCGTAAGTATATTTGGTTTGCAGTTAAAAGACAAGGGATCCATTATGACAAACTTTTTAAAACAACAGGCACATCTATAAAAAGAGTACCCCGTGGTCCATCAGATGTAAACACCACTAGCATTTACATGAAACAATCAAGTAAATAAATAAATAAATAAATAAATAGGCACTTAATTTGTGCGATGGATGCTGGAACAAAGCTGTTTTTATACCGTTTGGTTAGACACCTATGGACCTATACTAACCTCAGGCTTGAAGAAAGAAGCTGGAATGCATTGTGCAGAGGGTGGGAGTCATCCGTTAACATAGAGCTGAATAACCGCGGTAAACGTCTGAGGTACAGGGTCTCCAGGTTTAGCTGTGACTCACCTATTAGTCTGCTAGACCCCTTAACGATCTGACTGAGAGAGATTCTGCCCTTTAAAGATAGGTTACCAAACCATGACACTAGAGAAAAAGACAGAATGGCCTTAACAAAAGCACAATAAAACATGACCATCATGGTTTTGTCAATGTTGAAATAGGAAAGTTTTCTCAAACAACACAAACGCTGGCGCCCCTTTTTGCATACGGCTTCACAATTTGCTTCAAAGTTCAATTTTGAGTTGATAATTGTCCCGAGTTATTTGTAAGATTCCACTGTCTGATTCTTGATGGATACGACTTCATGTATGTGGGGATGTCTTCCGAAATCAATGATCATGTCTGTGGGTTGACATATGAACATGCTGTTTATCTAATTTCTTATAAAGCTGACTTTTAAATAATATTTTCTCATCACACCATTGTTTTAAAGGGACAATGGGAGCTTGCATACAGCTTGATGTAAAGGAAGCGTACTAGGCATACAAATGGATATACAGTGGACATTACATATAAGTACAGTAGTGTCCTGCAGTCAGACATTCACTGTGTCTTCATCTCTGTATTTCTCTGTGTCTCTGCAGATCAGAGTGGACGGTCCTCTGGAGGGAGGAGTGCTGTACGAGACAGTCAGCGTGATGAAGGATAGCAGCCCCATCCTCCGGGACATGGCCTTCTCCCTTGACAGGAACTCTCTCTATGTCATGTCTGACAATCAGGTGAGGATACGCCCTCGTTTTCGCCTCTTGCTGTCAGGAGAAACGCTAAACGGCAGGGAGATGAAGCGAGACGGTCTTCAGCTAGAAGCCCGCGAGTTCATGCCAGCAAGCGCTCACCAAGCTGACACGTCCTTGAGCCAGATACTGTATTTGCAGCTTTAGCAGTTTTTTTACTCGGTATGAAAAAGATACAGCATGGGAATACTTTGCCATCGCGTCAATGAAACAATACATTTAATCCCCATTTTCTGAGGATTGGATTTTATCCAGTTTATCAGGACTTTGCAAAAAGTATGTTTTTTTTCTGCATAGATACTAGCATTTCAGTTATCCTTATTATCGCGTACAGCCAGGGAATTAGCAGTAAGACTGTTTTAAATCAAAAGTATTAAATTATAAATGCCATTTACTTGGAATCCTACCAGATGATTATGATTTATCCCCAAAATCCAATGTGGCAACTCCCAAACATTCACGAGCTGTATGTCTAAGGATTGTTAAATATGCAGTCTGTGTGGAAGGGGATGGACCACTGTTCTAATTACTTATCCATGCGAATCGCCTTACAGTGCGCGCTTCTTTTGTACACCACACACGCGCCATAGAAAACCATTAGCAGCTTTTTTCTGCGTGGCTGTATCCCCCCTCGCCTGCTCCTCAGTTGGCCCGGCATCACAGAGGCGAGGAGTTGTTGTTGTAGGACGATATTCTCTGCACTCATTGGAGATAAGAGTGAACAGTGGTAATCACTTTCAACTCCCATCAAGTGCTTATTTTGGCGCAGCTGCATGGCACTGTGAAATAGGATTAGGTGTCAGTGCGGCCAAAAAAAAGCCCCTATCACTGCTCTCAGTTGTCTTCTGACTGCTGGAATGTATTGAGCCAGAGTCACTGGACAGATGGGATAAGGGCATCGGGGCAATTGCAGATCTGTCATTTGTTTCCGAGTAGCTCCAAAAAGCCTTTTCTGGGAACTTGAAAACCAGGCCAAAAACGTATAAAAGCTTTGAGTTTCACAAAACAAGGGATGTCATGTGAAGAGCGAAAGAATAGAGACAGTATTGCGTCGGGTATTATCTTCTAGAACAAATCAAGGCGGCTCTTCCTTCTGTGTGATAGACTGGAAGAGTCAAACATCACTTATTGATGAGCTCTGGTCATTCAAGGAGAGACACATGCTTCCTTCAAGGAGATAGCCGGCTACTCTCTTCACTATGCCTCCAGTGACATATAATAACCAAACACAGCTTGGCCAGGCTTTTTCTCTCAATGTTAGAACAGCTTTGGCTTTATAGCCCTCAGGACTTTGGAGCAGAGTAAAGCTTTCCTCCTTTTTGTCTCCCTCTCCATCTTTGCTCAGCTTTCCCTTCAGACTTTCCCGCAGCTAAGGGATCCCCCGGGGAGAGGGCTTCAATCACAGATTTCCCACATTTCTAGTAGATCCCAGAGATGAGAGTTTTTCTGATTCCTGAGAGCCAAACAATACAGGAATGATGTAGAATGAGGAGCAGGGCACAGACAGATTTGGCTGAGATCAGCCGACCCCTGTGGAATAACAATGAGCCTCTCTGTCTGAGTGAAACACGCAGGGTTAGCATGATGATGAAGAGTGAGGAGAGTAATCTGTGTGTGTGTGTGTGTGTGTGTGTGTGTGTGTGTGTGTGTGTGTGTGTGTGTGTGTAATGGCACGTAAAAGCTTATCCTTTCATCCTGTAGCAGCTACTTCACTGATGATATCCCATTAGTAACTGACACACAGAAACATACATATGCTTACCAAGCCATACTCTAGGCTTTGGCAGTATCCAGGGAAATTAGGAAAGAAAAGTATGATTTTAACATCAAATAAACAGATGCTCTTCTTTCAATCCAACTGATGATGCTGGGTTTCCGCCNTCAGAGTCCTTTACCTCACCTGAGATGTAGTTATCAGTCTCTCAGTCTGACAGGAGAGGACTCTCCTCCACCTTGTTGACAGCTCATTATGGCTAATGGACATAATGAGCTGTCAACAAGGTGGAGGAGAGTCCTCTCCTGTCAGACTGAGAGACTGATAACTACATCTCAGGTGAGGTAAAGGACTCTGAGTGTTTAGATAGTTAACTTAGTCTAAGTTCTCTGTGGGTCTCAAACGGTTTGGTCACCATTTATGTAAACACATATTTCCATTTGAAGGGGGAGTGATTAGTAAAATATGCATGAATAATAAATAAATAAATGTTAACTAGGTGAAAAAAGGTAAGATAAACTTTAAAAACGTGTTGCTGCTGCCTCAAAGAGGAGCAGGGGGAGAGGGGGGAGACAGGTGAGGCTGGTTCAGGAGCCCAGACACACTCACAACTATAAATGAACCAAAAGCTAATAAATAAACAAGTTTCAATGTTTTTTCATATTGGAGATGGTATGTTATTGGTTATGGCCATGTTCTTATGATTTTATGATTATTTAAATGTATACAGTTCTGTTTCATATGGGTGTAGTCTCTTTATTTCCCCCTCAAAGTGCACCAGATTGATGCATTTAAGTCCAACATTTAAAAAAAAAATCCCGGACCCCACCTAGAGGATTTGAGGTCCACTTCCACTTAAAATATGTTCACATGGATAGGTTCCTAAATAGATTTGCAATTTTTTTTTAAATAGTAACCCATGTCCAATGTCCATATGTTTATTCTGGGGTAGTCACTATGGCCAGCAACGCTGTAAATATTGACAAATAAATCCAGGAAAATGGCACCAAAGAAAACTGGTAGTGGCCTGGCTGGGTGTATAATTCCCGGCCTGACTTATTGTCCCAGTCCGACCCTGGTGGAGAGGAGGAGCGATGGTGCATGTTCTACTATTCAACAACTTTCCCTCTAAGTATCTGCTGCTGCAGAACCCCTTTAACATTTAATCCGCAGTGCAAATAATGCCTTTGGTGGCCATTCAACCAAAAGCTGCACAAACACAAGCATCTGCCCAGATTATCCCAGTGTGTCCCCACGGTGGCCCGGCTTGGCCCTAATTCTGACTCTGGAATTCTATCCAGAGTCCAAAAGTCAAATTCATATACATACCGTATCTTAAATGTTCAGAAATAAACATCGCCTTCATAAAAGTAGGACGAGAGGTCCGCAAACACAGGTGAATGTTTACTGGAAGAGACATTGACTGGAAGCCAAATGGGACCACAAGTTCTTAGAAAATAATTTACCCAGCCGAAAACATTTCCCCTCGCGGTAACCTTTCCTCCTTGGTAGGATTTGTTCTACAAATTATTATTGAATTCTCCAAGTCTATTAAGTAAGTCCAGTCCCACTTGGTTTGTGGCCCAGAGCCGAACGCTGCCCGTCTCGGATGTAGTCCAGGTGCTCGGGGCTTGTGGGACACGTTGTAGGAAAGTGGTTACAAACTTTCTTTTAGGACCAGCCAAAGCAACTCATTCAGACGACTTTATTATTCCCCCAAAGACTGTGTCTGTCGGCAAAAGACACAAGGGAGAAGCAATTAGAACTGTCCTCTTTCTGGAGTTCAATTCAGCTGGTTTGAAAGATGTTGTTATACTGTATAACCTTGAACGTTCTCTAACTCTTCATTCTTTAAAACAGTTATACTCAAGCAACTGTAATATACAGATGGTATTTTAGGAACTGAAACTGTTTTAATGAGGGAATACCCCGAGGTAACGTCATGTTATTCCAACTTGGAGTTTCTCTATGCAGTGACAGATCAATGTGAACATTGTTCAAAAGACTAACAGTGTTTATTGGGATTGTTACCTCCTACTGACATGCCATGAAGAAAGTACTACAAAGATTTCAATTTCTCAGAAATGTAAAATGATTTAAGATGGAGGCGACTGCTGAAATCCAGGAAAGTCGAATGTTTTAAGTGCACTGAACACATTTCCATACATTTCCCCACGTCATACAACCCATTTACCATGACCAATGATTACATTTCCATTTCTATATTAAATTCTCTCACTTTAATTGATAGCTAATTTGAATTTTCCAAGGTTATTTTTTATTTCCACGGCATTAAATGTATGAATTATGTCTTTGAAGGCTAGCACCATCCATGAAGGACTAGCTCACTGGTATATTGGTGGTTTAGCATTGCGCTTCCCCTAGAGGATTGTGCATAAGAGGTTTAGATAGTGACTTTTGGTCCCTTAGAGTCAACAGTGGAAGCTACATTTCACATAAAGCAACTTGAGATTTTTCTTTTTTTAAGCCAAAGAAAATCCCTTTCACCTTTACCTCCACTTCAAGCCCAACTTTAGATAACCCTGATGATATCATCAATTCACTCAGACATTAAAAAACCTCCCCTGAGCCTCAGAAAACATTATACACCTGTTTAAATGTTCCGAATAGGGCCGCTCATGATGAGGTAGCAGATCCTTATGTCGAAAATCACTGAAAGGCCCCTTTAAGAAAAAGCATATCACAAACTCTAAAAATTGATGTGTCAATTATTTCCCAAGAAAAAAGCAAACATGCACTTCCTTCAACTTTGTCTGTTTTTTTTAGAACCATATGCTGTCTGCTCACACCAGTGCCAGAGAAAATGATGCAAAACACACACATCAGCAAAGTTATTGCACTGTTTGTATTAACAACGGTGTGACAATCTGGAGGCGGTGCGCCATATTGCAAGACTGCCATCACTGCATGCTGAGCGCTTCCAAAGCTGCCATCTGGCAGGTGAGCCGCACGCTTCCCACTTGTACCTCTCCTCCTTTTCACTTCGCTCCTCCAATGTTTGTTACCACCTCTCTTTTTATTGGTCTGTCTTAGTCCCGCTTCTTTATCTTTTTCCCCCTGTCCTCTCTGCCTGTTCAATCTCCATTGTCCACCTTTATCTACCTGTCGGTCCACCTCCCTCCAGGCCTGGATCACATACTGAAAGAAGCGTGAAGATTGAAAGGGGGATGAAGGAGTGGAAAGAGTGAGGACAACAGCATAGCGGTCGTGCTTTATGATCTGCAGTATTTCATTTTCTCCTTTCCTTTTCCACGTCACTGAAGGTTTCATATTGCTACTATGTGTCTCTTCTCTTTTTTATGCTTTCTCTCCTGCTGCTTATTCCATACCCTCCTATGCAATAGTAAATCCACATATGAATGGACACACACATACAGTACAAGCCCACACATGCAAACACTAACACACACAA